TATAGAAAAATAATAATAAGCTGAAAATAAAATTATATAATATTTTATTTATATTATTATTATTATATATAACATAGCTATTATATGGTTATTGTACTATGACGAAATGTTCTATCGAGTGTATGTGTGTAATCGTTCTAAGAGAAATACATAGAACTTGTCATGGACATGCGCCTATTCTTGTGTGTAATAGTTCTAAGAGAAATACATAGAACTTGTCCTAGACATGTGCCTATTCTTGTTAATTATTCGACCAGGTCATGACAGAGTGACACATTGAAAGGAGATAAACAAAGCCTAAATCTCGTTTAAGTAACCTATTCAATGAAAATACGAATCTTATTTAAGTCATTTACCTCCCAAAACGTTAAACTGTGTGCACTTTCATAAGCTATGTCATATGTAATAAGTGAGAAATTCTCACTATTACTTCAGGTGTTGACACCTATGTCTTAATATATTGTTCGAAAGCCAGACGCATGAAAATTGCGCTAGCCCCTGCTGTATCTACTTCTGCTGCTTAAGGCATTTTTTCCGCTACCCGAATCACTCAGCAAACCGCGAAGCTTTGAAGGATTTCCTTTTACGTTAATCATTCTCTATACTAGACGGTCAGTGACATTTCTAACCGTTTTCAGCGGCCCTGCGTTAATTTAGCGCGAAGCGTCAGAGGATGTCGTGGACACCATCAGCAGTAAAAAGTAAATTCAAGAATAAGCGAATATATATCGACTAGGATTCTATATATGCATGTCTGAAATTGCAACGGCCAAGAACATATGTACCATAAAAAATATTAAGAGGTAACCGAGATCCCCGCGCATATACACGTACGCCCAACATTTGAGAGAGAAAATGCAACGAAAACCCTCGTAGTCGGCCACTGTCGTGCCATATGAGACAGCCTGAGGTTGATAGTCGGATCATATGCCGCCTATGAATTGACAACCACAGTCAAATGTTCAAGTTTAACAAAACAAACAAGATTTCGACAGTACGTACTAGCCATTCTTATTCCAGTATAATTTCTATGTTATAATTGTAATCACGCTCTCAACGAGTTATGAAAACTAAACCAGGGGAAAATATGTAAGATTCGTGACCCCCGAAATAAGCAAATGGACAAAGTCTCACATAAGGCATTCACTGAGTGCGACTAAGGCGAGTAACACGCATAAAGGACAAAAGCAATTAAAATAAATGCACAGTCTATCTACGTGGCGACACCCTAGTTCTCTAGTAAGCAGAGGATATCTACGTGATTCATACGCGAGCACCGAACACTCGTTATTGTTATAATTAATTCGCGTGGGCTTTTGCTCAGAGTCATCTCTGTTGCTTGTCAAAGTTCGAGGACGTCCTTTTTCTAACTCTCACTGGTTCAAATGGCTACCCAGAAAGAGAATCACAATGGCGACCTATCTCGCTATCGTTATGGCGGCAAAGCAACCAATTTTGACATCTTAGGCTCGCATCTCGCCGTAGGATATACATTACTGCTGCTTGTTCTTCCGCAGGCACTGTGATTTAAGATGGGCCCGTTGCGCGAACCCGCTCACAAGATCGCTACGACACTGCCGTCAGAACAGAGTCATTGTATCACACAAGCAGCCTATCACAGAAGTGTTGCTTTATAGCATTAGATAGAAACAAGAGAGAATGTTAAGCGAAACACGGTAATTGCTATCCAAAGGTTGTCGATTTTGTCCCTGATACACGTAAAAAAAGGTTTCAGTTAGCCACTTCATTAATGGCACACCACGGTGATAGTGATACACGCTATTCGCATCGGCCTGATAAGAACGTTCTACTGGATTTAAGTTCAGGGGAAAAAGATTACTGAATAACCTAAAAGAGTGTCAAGACGATGACGCAACCAGCCGTGGCTTAGCCAATATGGGATTGTGTAAAATTATAAAATAAACCCAATTATTGTCTCACCGTCAGTATAGCTATGAGTGTTGCTTGTTTAAAATCCAATTAGTTGCGTGTGCTCTAATTAAAAAATTAGAATAAGTGCTCAATAAACAGCAACTCGAATTCAAAAACGAATCTGGGTAGCTAAAAATTTTTCAAGGTAAACTTTTTAGAGCCTAGGAACTTCAAGCAAGTAAAATGTGAACCGCTTAACAAATGTTTGGTTTGGACAAGATAATCCGATGAGATCATCAGTCCACATGTGTGAATCTGAAAGCCATTGATTTACAAATTTTTACACTATCGAACTATCCAGCATTTCTTAAGTTGAAAATTAGGGTATAAATGCTTACTGATATATACATAACGAATAGTTTTTTATTGTTAGTATGTGTTCGAGAAGGCCAACATAATTCATATATATATATATATATATATATATATATATATATGAATTATGTTTATATATATATATATATATATTAGCAATTACAAAAAGCATTCGATTGAAGCTTAGTTTGTCTATGAACGACAGCCGAAGGACATGAAATGGTCATGGTTGTAACATGTCTAAGTACGCTCAATTTGGGAGCTCCATTCATCTATGCTTTAACTTATAGAAACTACTAGTAGAACAAATTCATTACAAACTTCCAATACTTAAATGTACCGTAATAAGACAAGTATTTAGTTATTTTAATTTATTATGTTACAAGATAAACGCGGCTTGTAAAAAGACGAATAAAAAAACTACTTAAACAGAAGATATTGGCGTCCGTTGGGTTGTTCAAGAAATGTGTCTGATAACGAAACGACGCGATTAGACTCAATTACATCAGTAGTTAAACGCATATCAGTAAGTTTTTTCTTCAACGCCCACTCGGTAGGCTAGTTACGCTATCGTCGGCTGCGTCAAGTGCTACAGATAATATGACTAACTGATGATAAAGAAAAGAGCGAGAAGTACAATTACAGTATAAATACGCAATGCTTTGCTGCTTCAGCCAGACGCTAACCTAACCTGTTTCTTTTGCTGTGCGTAGTAGTAACAATTATCTTTAACTTATTATTATTGCTTTGCATACTTAGTAAATTACGGATCGATAGCGCCACAACCTGCGATAAGTGAACTAACCCTGTGGTTAATTCAATTTAATTAATCTGTGGAGGCATGTTTTCTATGTCTTTCTGTTAGCAATAGGAAACGCTTAGGCTCGAAATTTAGCGAGAGTCATTCAAAAGAACAAAAAAAAAAATTTTAATTACGAAGCTAACAAACCTTTAGCCTTTTGCTCCCGTAATTTATCTTCAAGCTCCCTGATTTGTTTCTCTTGTTCAAGGGTATCGGACTTCTGAGCGGAAGTTACAGCGCCGTTCCCTGAGAGATGAGCTAGACTCAAGTCTTGTCGCATTTTTTCAAGTTCAGTACATTTAACCGAAACTTCGTTCTCCAACTCGGTTACCCGCTGAAATTTTTTGCTGACTTAGTAAATTTAGTTTTGAGCAACCTGTACTACTTCTTGAAGTACCGCATATGTAGTTTGCCGGCATTAATTAATCTAAATGAAACAACTATTAGCAGACGACAAGAACGCAGTCGCATTATTTGAACAGATAATGTTTTGATCATACTAAACGCTTGCATTATTTGAACAGATAATGTTTTGATCATACTAAACGCATTTCATTGCGTGTAATGATAGATTTTGTTTACCGTTTCAAGCGGTGATAGCTTCTCGAGAGCCGCCTTATATTCCTCTGATATGCTTGTGCATTCTGAACTAAGGTGTTCGTTCTGTTGTCGAAGTTGCGTTGCGATCTTCCTCGCTGCGGTCGAAACTCGTCTTTCTGATAACAGCGAAGTAACGACCTCACTGTAATAATAAATACATCATTACATTCTTTATCTTTACAACAGCGTAATATGTATATATATATATATATATATATATATATATATATGTATATTATATATATAATATAAGTATATAAGATGGAAATTCATTAATACCCTACTTGCAGTCGAGATTACGATAATAACAACAGTTAAGCTAGCCGCAAATCCTCTGCTTAACATATATTACAAGTTTTTGGAAATTTTACATATATGAGCCTTAGAAGTAGGGAATAACACTTACTGTTGGTTCCGAATGAGGTCGTTAATTAACTGTGCGCGCTGGAAATGTTAAGGTTATAACAAAATATTAGTTTTCTTGGCCAGATCAAAAAGCGGCATAAATAGATTCGCCGCACGTAGTTTTCAATTACATACTATATGGTATAGACGTTTCATTTTTAATAAAACTAAATTTTAGAACTTAAAACTTAGATTTGAATATGATTATTATTACTTTTATTATTAATGCAATCAAGATTTTCCTCTATATTTTGACACTTAAGAGAATTGCTAAGTCCCATCAAGTCAATTAGCTACAAACTAACCCTTGTATATATGGTATGGATGAGTCGAAAATAATCCACTCTCATACAGATATTTAATGAGATGCGTGCTATTATATTCCCGCAAATCCAACAAAAACATCCAATATCCTGCAAAACAATTTAGATTAAAACAGAAAAGGTGTATTTTACGCCATTCGATGAACATGTCATGATCATGCAAAGTCATTGGTAGTTTAAGATAAAGCATTGCAGGATCTTCTATTGAGTACCATCTATTGCATGTTCAAACCGAAGGCTGCTAACACTCTTGCGCGTACAGGTATTTGCCTCACCTTTGAAATTGAAGCACAGCTCGAACAGTTAGCCGAATTGGAGAACATCTCTATAGTTATTTAATACGTGGTCTTAATAAACTCATCATCGTTATGGCCTCACTAAGAGATCTTATTCCACCTGTTCACTAGAACTGTTGTTCGCTCTTTCTATTCATAAACAGAACAATCTTGTCAATGAGAATTTCACACTATTTTCATGGGAGCACGCGAGTGGACTAGATGTAGCATGCCAATCAACCCGTGCATAATCCGCTAAAACCTTTAGAATACCCACATAAGCACAATATAAATACAAATTAAATATTTATTTCCCTACTGACGCTGCGTTATTCACAAATTTAGATTTGGGACTGTTGAAGTTATATGACTGCATCGGCATTTCGGCAACTGTGTTTCATTGAGTACTTAGTTCTCTCGAACGAATGATTGACCCTTGTAAATAGAACATGTCGTATGTCAGGAGGAAGCTTTAAAATAAACTATATGGTCCGTTTTCTGAGATATTCACCAATTAACAATAACTAAGCCTGATTAATGTTTTTTTTTTTTCGGGAATACATAGTACTATACAGGTTGTGCCATAAGCAGTCGAAGGATGCGAAATTTCCTTTCCTTGCTACTTTCTCTGAACCTACGACACAACCCTTGGAGTAACATATCGAGGGTTTTTCGTGTTTTCGAATAGCGCTGTCTGTTGTATTAGTGGCAAGTGCGCTTCTCTGGTGCAGATAAGTGCAGCCGGTGCTGGTGCAGAATTACTTTTGAAACCATTTGCAATGGCGGCAACTGGCACAAAAGGAAAGCTTCTTAGAGTTATCGACGATATGGAAATAATCGCAAAGTAAGCGATGAAGCTGAACGCATCCACAATGTATAATTAAAGAGATAAATATTTCTATGTGGGAAGTTGCAAGACGTAGGCTATTTGCCAGCCGAGCGGTACACTGAATATTGTTTGCTTATAACATTGTAATATCTTTAGAAGCGAGTGCTTCATCTTAAGCTCCGCGTAGTAATCGTTGTTATCAAGCACGCTTCTGTAAAGTTAAGTCGCAGACGAATAAATTAATTTTCGGTGGATTCTAAATCTAATGTCAGTTACCATGGTGCGGCATAAAGGGACACGCTATTTCACCATTTCAATCTATTTTTATATAGGGCAGTTTAGTACATTAGTTGAAGTTTAAATCTGAGTATTACCAGCTGATCAACAATGGAGAAGATGATGACACCCGTATACGCGTTACTTATTAGATAGTCAACATATAGTTAGGAAGCTGACGATTTAACAGTAAATGCGACTACAGCCACCTCTATCTCGATCCTATTTTTTCCCTTGTACCTTGTTACTCTTCGAATGTATTTTCATCAATGTTTTATATATTGTAGTATGGGCATATGCGGAATATGTGCATTCATTTCCAATGTTATGATTCCTCGAAATTTTCGGAATGGCACTTGCCCCGTGTTGGCTCCTTCAGGGAACTCGTAGAAAATTTACTGGCACCGAAGGCGCAAAAGTTGTCTTCACAGGAGCATCTTCAGTTGGCTAAGATGCTGGTGGCTAAGGATCTTGAACTGAAAGAGCTACTGCAGCAAGCGAGGCAGCAGGAAAAGGTAGGAGGGATAACATGTTTAAGTGTACAATCGTCTGTAGTCGTTCCGTTTATCCAGCATAAAACCCAGTGGGCAACAAAGTTCGTCCGATAAATTATGAAATGAGATCCAACTTTGGTTATTTTCATAGGAAAAATTTCAGATACGATAAGAACTATAGTAATTTATCTTCCTTTACTGTAAGGACGTACTATGTTAAGACGACGAATTATGTTGCCCAAGAACCGAATGTATGATTAGCATTTTGTGACAAATTAGCAATATCAACAAAATATCAAAATAATCTGGATAATATTAAAAAAATAAGAATACATTCATAAAATAGCAGTACTTCAATTGCTGGTTTTAATCAGCAAGAAGTGGGATTGCCCAATAATCTTTTTTCTTAGATAATCATGTCAGACCCGATTGTGATTAATTCGTCAACATTTTGCTTCAGTCCGTTTGAGACATTCGGGTTACCAAAACCTAGACCTTTCGAGCACCATATCATAGAACATTTCATTTATAAGATTGCTTTCTTTATACTAAGCTTTTTTTTTATTATTCCGTCTTTTACAATGTTTTCTAATTTTGTGCAGGTGGAAGAAGTAATAGAAGCCCTTCAAGAAGAGGTTGATCGCCAAGACAAAGATATCCACAGCCTGCAGAGCAATTTGAAGGAGGCTGAAAATCTTCTGGTAGGTAGCATACATTTTTGATCCTATATACATACATACTAGTTGACTGGTTAGCAGCGTCCAAATGATATAAACATAATAGAACAATATTAATTAATTTCTATCTTTACATGGTCTACACGATACATTTGTAAACTGTTTCGAGGAAACTATTTCTGTATAAAGCCGTCTGTCTTGTACGAGAGAAAAATTTTGACTATGAGGCAAAAAGTGCTGTTTTCTTTGGGGCTGGTCTTTTTTATAGAATTTTGTATACAAAGGCATTTGTTTGGCTACAATAAGCTCTTCATGCAAGTGGTAACATTGGCTGGGAATCTTACTGATGTGCTACAGTCAGCCTGGGCTGCTATCTATTGACGCGCCTTGAGCAGTCGTGCGTGGTGTCCCATAAAACACTCTGAAGATTGTTCTTTGAAAAAACAGCATACCCCAAGCGGAAAGTTGATGTCGTGTAGCGCTGCCGGGGAAAGTCGGCCCACAGCAGATGTCCCGCCTGAAGTACCGAGTTCTTTACTTAGAAAGTTTCTTTCCGAAACTAAACTTTTTACATAGACGGGTATGCAAGCTCACAAACATTTTGCTCTATTGATATTTATACTTATTACATTCTAACGAGCAACGTATAAATCTGAATTAACAGACATAATTTAACTATTTCTATATCCTTACCAAATGCAATGGGAAAACTAGTTACAGTTCTAAATTTGGTAAACTAATTGATATCCTTCTATTGATAGATAACAGAGCTTCACAAATGGTTATTTATAGAATTTGCGCATCAGGAATCCATAATGATGAAAAGAAGGATAGGATGACGAAGGCAATTGAATATTTACTCATATATGTCTCAACATTTTTCAGGCGACAGCTATCTATCAGGCAAAACAAAAGCTGAGTTCGATCCAAAAGGCATCGGAGAAACAGGTTTCGTCAGAGGAATTGATCAAATACGCCCATCGTATCTCGGCGTCGTCCGCAGTCGCGGCTCCACACAACTGGCAGCAGGGGGATACACGAAGACCATACCCGACCGATATCGAAATGCGACAGGGCTTCCTTGGCAGGATGAGTGATTTACCATTACCTCCAGCAGACGCAAGCCGACCGATGCATGGTACACACTTACACCTTAAGGATAATGCATACCGTTCATATATGCAAATCTATAGACTAAAGTGCACATAGCACTCGTCTACTGAAAAAGCCTGACGGTGCGCTGAATATCTTTAGTTGGCTTTGCTTGTCTATATGAATTTGATGTTTGAACTTTTAGATCGATAATTTCATTTCTGATATAGTTGCTGTGCTATTAAAACTACTTGAATTTAATTACCTAAGGATTTGTGACGGATTAACAACGTACAACGGTTCTTTAGTTTTATCGCGGACATATACGGCGATAACGGGAATAGATCAGCGGCCTTCAGCCACTCAGATAAAACACTTAAGCTCACGAATAAAACATGCTTTGGTTAAGGATACGCCTTCGTTAAATAGGAAGAGTCGTATACATATATAGCGCATGAGGGCCGTGAGCGAAGAGGACAGCTCATTGATAACTACAACCATATTCAGTTTGAATTTAAATATATATTTCGTCAACGTACTATTTTAACCGGATGTAAAGTATTTGGTCCTAATTGTGCTTCGCTTGAAGGCTATCATGATCATATCGTAATATATAATATTCGTTTCACATAATTTTTGCGTAATTGCAGCTCTACTGGCCAAACTCTAGTATCACTTGTTAAAAAAATACACCAGGTTATCTGAATAGTAACAATACGATTACTAGCTAATAAGAATACTATGTACTTTATGGCTTAATGCTAACTATCTAACTCGATGTATATTTTAGATTAGCATGTAAGATGTTTAGATATCTTTAAGCCAGGTCTTTTATAATGAAATATCTGGCATCAATACTTGAGTCAATCAGTACTTTCTAGTGGGGTAGCACTAAATCGAACAGGATTGTAATAATTACGATATTTTTGCTGTCAGGACAAAACGTGGTTACTTTACCTTTGAAGACATCATTGGCTAGTCGGTCACAACAGCGTCTAGATAACCGGCTCGGACTCTTATTGCTATACAATGGCCCCTATATTTGCTAATACTAGACATGTCTATTATACTTAATCAGTAAACGGCTAGAAACATTCTGTTTTAAATTCTTTGCGTCTGCTTTGTACTGCACCACTGCTTCTAGAGCTGAGATTATTATTTAATCAATCATATGCATTACAAATATTTTATTTATAATACACGCCATTGCATATAAATGACATTAAGTGCAATATACCTTGTAGACATTTATTAAAATGTTGAGCTATATATTTATATATCTTTTATATAGAGAAAATCTCTAGTAACGTGATAGCTTTTATTTAATTGTAACAAATGATAGACGTGCATACTATTCGTGTAGCATTTGTAATTATCACATATGTTTCGAACTTTGGCTGCGCAATACTATAACGGTGAGCGTTACAGATGTGACGCTCTTTAACTCGTCTAATCGTTCATGCCAATTATTCAGAGGAAGACACAGGTAGCCTTTTGTACTGTTGATGATTATGAGGTATCCTTGAGTATCACTCTTTTGACAAATTATAATTATTCGCTGGATTTTGTAAATTCAACTTCGAGATCATTTATCGAGAAATAGCAGTGCTATAATGTTGGCTTATTATGTTTAAAAAGTTGCATGTGTATAGGTGATTATAGTCCCTGTATTTAGGATTTTTAGTTGATTTGGAATGCGATTCAAAAACAACGAACTTGGCCAATACCACGTAAGGAGTATGTTAATTAAAATATCCTCTAAAAATATAACAATTTTCGGAGTATGCTTATCATCACATATATAACAGCACAGTACTGATGGCCCCCGGCTAGAATGCCTGGTTTCTTGGGCTCTAGACTGTACATGCTATACATGTAATTGGCATTGTACCGTATCAAAAAACTATTCAGAAGGATTGGAAAGTGAATTGAAATATCCTTGCAATAAGTGTGCATGTAAGTGTTATAATAAATAAAAAAAAAAACTTATCTTCGCTCAGATGATTTTTTGAGCAAAAAATTGGTCTGGCCCAATGCAGGTCAGGACATATTGCTTATTGATAATGCTACGCAGGTACTTGTGGAGCTTAGCCGCTTTATCTTTCAGTTTCGAAATCGGTTTCACTTTAATATATGATTTATTTAGAATTTAACGAAATGAGAGGCGAATAATTAGCAGTGTTACGCCATTTGTAGAATCGTTAACCATTCATATACACTCTGTTTGCACACGCATACACATACTGTTTGCATGCATTTCTTGCTAGAAAGAGTTGTCAACTCATACTTGGTTGAGATGTTTCTTACCTACCAAGAGTAAGCCCACTTTTTTTCTCCACCATGTATATAAACCGTTCACGTCGAATACAAACTTTTTATCGGGAAATATATCGGTGCAAAGATAATGTAAAGTGTATGGTCTATCAGCCCCTGATTCGTTCAGTATATTAACCATGAACGAACATTTCTAGAATAGATATTTACTTGTTCTAGTGAACCTGCATGTCATTGCTTTGAAGAAATCACCCAAATACGTCATCATGCATTTACCTATTGAGTATATACGCAATCGTGTGACCACGTGTACATTCAATGCCTTCTAATGGTCTCTCTATTAACGGATTCATTCAATAAATTCTGCATAAAGAGTCGTAGTGCTGCACACGGCCGTTTAGTGCAGCTTTTCGTTATTTATGATGTTCTGGTAACTTATATGTATAAGTTATTATCTAACGCTCACCAATGGGTATGGAGACATAACTGTGCAGTATTGTGCATAATCGCTTCAGCAAGAAGCGCTTGCATGCGAGGTGTTTGACGGGTCTTAATGATATTGTACAACAGTGTAACGTTGCATTACACCGATGGATTAACAAATTTACGTTCGATGTGTGCGAATGTTGCAGAGGGAAGTGGTACGATAGGAGGCACCCCCGTTGGCAACGGACCACCTGGCAGTTTTTGGCAGATAGGCACCTCAACAGGATCAGGCGCACAAGACATTAAACCTCATCTGCCGTCGCTTGGTCTACAGACGGGAACTATGGATGTAAAAAATGAAGACGTCGAAGTAATGTCTACTGATTCCAGTTCATCCTCAAGCAGTGATAGTCAGTAGAAGATAACAGGGATTCCTTAACAGAACTGTCGTTACATTTCCAATGAACTCCAAAAGCAAACAGATTTGATGATTTGTAGTTCTATTCGGATCTATTATACACCTTTGCCATGGCGTCGGAATTCGCTATAAACAATAATACGGCTGTAGTAAATATATCTCGGCATGGATCAAGGTAGAGGATAGGAGGCGATGTGTATTACTAACTTGTACATACCTATAACAATTTACGAAAGTAATAATAATTATGCTGTTTAATAAAAACTAAATAAAATTTATAGATGAAACTCCGGCATGCAGCTTTTTTATTACTAAATGGGTATTAGTCCAATGATTACCTAACCTTGGTCGAATTAGACAAGCCTAGAGAAAAACGGTGAAAGAAGCTTAGTTGTACATTAGTGAGGTTATTGTTACGGTATCCTGTAACGTCAAGCACTCATTCCTATATTAATCTGAAATCTTTATAATCATTATTTTATTATTCAAATAGTATTAAAGTGTGAATGGAAGCGATCTATTTCTAAAGATGCATAGAAGAATCTTGTTTTTGTTGATCTACAAAAGAGAAGCTCAAAAGTGAATTCTATCCACAACTGTTTTTGCACTAGCTTTTAATAAAATAAGTACATCATTTGTCTGTTTTTCAGATCCATTAGTGCTTATTATGTATTTTGAACCGGGTTAACACATTGTTTTGGATTGAGTTTAATTTCCATAGAAATATCTTACTTAATCTTCTTTTTCCGCAGCTCCTTGTCTCAACTTGCCGATCTTGTTTATATATATATAATCTGTATTGTTATAGCCATCATTTTGAATATCCGTGTCGTATGGTTATTTTTATTGTTGTTACCGTTGTTGCTAGTAGTACACTACAATATTGTGTTTGCTCCGTAAAGCTGTACATTTCTCTCTTTCCGTATAACGTCTACCGTTGAAGTCGATCAAAGCGATTCTGACTGATCCGACGGTCTCTCCCAATCGCGAGGAGATTCCACTTGTCACACAATTGAGACTGATACGCTTTACGCTCTCTTTGCCCCTTTCCCCCGCTCTTTCGCTTGCTTTATTTATACGAGGTCAAATATACGTTTTCTGTATTTTGCATCATATGTTTACCTTCATATATGTAAATGTGTTTGTCTGTGTGTGTTATCTTCGGGGACCTTTTCCTGTATCGACCTCAAACAGTTCAGTTTATTAAATAACCTTACTGCTAACTAGTCGCTCTTGTTTGCCACTCGTGTTTGCCTTTTTGCTGCTTTCCTTCTCCCCATAGCGTCTTCTGATTCTATTCAGAATCGCTACATCTGACTGCTCTTTCTGGGTGACTTTTGCTTGCATTTTAATACGTAGTTAACGTTTCCATTGTAGCACTTGATGCGTCAACACAAAACCTTGGATAGTGATTGTCCCCGAATAGTGTGTATTTCGTTATCTATTATACTATTTGTTTCAAAAATTGTACGCAAAATTATATATTTTCACTCTGAAGTATGTCCTGTGTAGTATGCTGTACTGTCATATGTAGTAGTAGATCTGAATCGATAATTTTATGGAAAACTCTATTATCGTAATAGTTATCGTTAGTTTTACTATTAATAACGAATATGTCTGGCGGTCTAATTCTCAGGGAATCAGATTCTTGGGTTACTTAGATCCTTACACTTCTATATGTTTTAAGGGGTCGCTTTTAAAATTTTGGTCTGTTGTCTTTTCGTGAAAACGTAAGGTCCATAGATCGAAATTAATTGATTTGATAATTTATTTATCTCTTTCTTTGTATATATACTTATATTTTTTTTCTGTGTGTCTATATATATATATATA